ATTCATAAAATCGTAATCCAATAAAAAAAACTTTACACCAACACTGGGCGACCACTGGTAAATATTAATATGCGTATTCAGTCAGTTCATTTATATACTTCGTAAAGCAATAAGTATATAAAAATGAAAAGAGATAATAATTAGTGACTTCTGGCCGTACAATAGACCTATTGTCAACGAGATTACGGAAATGCGTTGCGTAGGTGTGTGTTGCACTTACTTATCACGTCTTCAAATATTGTTACAAATTATAATAATAGAAAAGCATAAACAAATGATTTTAGTATGACAAGAATGTGTTCTATATTAGTTATAAACAAATGCAGAGTCATATTTTTAATTGAGGGTTGCTTATGCTGTTATGTACATGGCAATAAACCAGTGATTCTCAACCACTATGCCGCGGCACTTTTGTGTGCCGCCAAATTTCAAAAGTGTGCCGCCAAATTTTGCACATATATAATAATGTTAATATTATTAAATTATATCATTTAAAAAGAAAAATATTAGGCATTAGCCAACATTAAAACTAAAAAAGATCAAGATTGTTAAATGTAGAAGACGATATGAGAGTAGCATTGTCATTTTTACTACCAAATGTAAATGAAATTATCAAAAAACATCAAGCTCAAATTTCGCATTAAAAATATTTTTATTATTAGCTTGTAATTAATCCCTTAATAAACGTTTAGTTATTATTGTAGTATATATTAGTTTATTTCGTATATTTAAAATTTTTGTCATAAACTATTTATGCAGTGTGTTGTAGTAAGTAAATAATTTTTATCTTTTTCTTTGTGTGCCGCCAAATTTTGAAATCGTTAAATATGTGCCGCAACAAAAAAAAGGTTGAGAATCACTGCAATAAACCAACGCTTAAACAAGTTTATTATTTGTTAACGTGGGGGAAATGCCAACGCATAGCCGTCCTCGTGGGAGCAAGGCGGCTTATGTCGGATTCGCACCGACTAAAACCCAAGACGACCCCAGACGGTCGGAGAAGACGCATCTGGAATCCTACGGGTGTAGTAAATGTCCACGGGCGGCGGTTATCAACTAATATCAGCTGAGCCTTCAGCTCACTTGCTATGTTCTTACATAGAAATTAAAAATTGTGAACAAAAAATCTATAAATACCCATGATTATTTATCTATTTCGAGAGTGGAATACAAAAGTCAGACTTGATCTCTAAGCACTACCCTTAACTGTCCAATATAGAAATTGCCAATGCATTATGAAAATTGCTCGTGTCCACTTCACAGACAGCTTCATCCCTTGAACCACTCATGGGTTGTACTTATCGAAAATCGATCGAGCCCACTTAATGAAATTTTAGGTAGCATAGATTGAACTACTTAAACCTCAAGGTCGTAGACGCTTATTAAATATTCATAAGCAAAAAATAAGTGCCCATTATTCAATTTAGCCTCTTTTGAATGTCACAATCCACGAATTTCTAAAGAAGTTTAACTCTTTGTTAAATGTTTAAAATCTTTTTAGGGTTAGGGAACATATTACTAAAACTCTGCTGTCTGTCTGTCTGTCTGTCTGTCTGTCACCGGGCTATATATATCTCATGAACCGTGATAGTTAGACAGTTGAAATTTTCACAGGATGATGTATTTCTGTCGCAGCTATAACTAGAAAAGAATAAAACAATATTTAAGTGGAGCTCCCGTACAACAGACTTGAATTTTTTGCCGTTTTTATAGATAATGGAACGGAACCCTTCGTGCGTGAGTTCAACTCGCACTCGGCCGGTATTTTAAAGCCCTCATATTGAAAATGTTCATGGAACGACGTAGTCAGTTGTCATCAGTTAACCCGTTGTTCTTGTGACCTTTTCTGTATCATTGATTCCCTCACATGAATGTTCTTAGATTCGACGCAGACGAGCATCAGTGAGTTCTTTAGGAAATCCCTTCCAACGCACCGAGAGTCGCCAAACTGAGCGGGTTTCAGCAGTTCAAATTCCATAATACTTCCAATCTTGTGCGTAACTTTGGTCAGCGTACCTTTGGAAAGTTTCTCTGCTGATACAGGAAAGCGGCAGTTTCGGATCAAACATAAATTAGTTCAGTTAGACTGCGTAGAATATGTATTCTTATTTAAGACAATTAAATGTATACGTTTTTACAAAAAAATTAGTTCACATCGTTCAAAATGAAAAAAATCAGCTGGCAAATAAAAAAAAATAATAAAGAAACGTTTGTGTGTTGAAGGCTATTATAATATTAGTGATTATTTAAATGGTAAAACATTCTGGAAATGAATTGGTCGCTCCATTATAAACACGTTTCTTTGTCAAATAATCTTTAAAGAAAATTGTCTCGCTGAGTTTCTTTCCTCGGTTCTTTTCGGGTCAGTGGCTTTTCTTTTACGAACCGGTACTAGTATTTTGAAAATCAATAAGGAGGTTGTATTCACCACTAGAATTCTACATTATCTCAGAGTAAGATAGGCTATATTATAACTAGAAATAATTAGGGATCTGTACTAAAACTTCAATAATGTAACCCAAGGTGTAAAAAATAAACGCCCATCTCTGCGAAGATGAGACGAGACGCTAGAATATATAAAGAATAAAGGTATTTGGATAAAGATACATATTTGAATTTCGAACTTACAACTTTCGAACTTACTTATAACCGATGCAAACGTGGTGAGTGATATACCGTCGTGGTGCCGCAACACGCCGATTTCACGTCCTACAGTAGCGGACGTTTCCACAGTTCGCTCGACGAGGCACTTTGCAGTACGGCGATGTCGAAAGGTCGGATGCTGGCGTCGGTCGGCCATTGCACCGTTCTGTGGCTCAAGGCAGAACTTATTGTTAGTAGGAGGAGGGTTTTGTGATTGGAAACAAAACACTAGCTTGTAAGTGAAGGTACTATGAAGGAATACACTTTCGCAGCATCTGGCGTTGCGAATGTCTTTAGATGGCGGTAACAACTTACTATTAGGTAAGCCGTTTAGGCTCTAGGCTTAGGATAAGTTTAGTTTACTTCCCTTAGTATGAATTATTTACGTTTAAAGAAGACCACTTAATAAGGTTGTTTCGGCGGAATTCCTAAGGCTAGCTTTGACAATTTACTGGAAACATGGGTCACCCTAACATTTACGTTACTAGGTAGGTGATAATTAGGCTTCAATTCAAATTGTTTACCATTTTTATGTGAGAGATTGATAACAATGAGAACACTGGCATATTGTGTAGATAAAATTTGTAGAATCTTATCAAATCGTATATGTAAACTCCCAGGTTAGCCCTTTTTCGAAAGGGAGTTAAGCATAAAACCTTTACCAGCAATCCTCCTTCGCTGCTTCAATATCGCTATTACTGTGGGTTATTGCGCTTAGGTTAGGTCGCGAACTATCTGCTATGCATGGATGAAGTTTCCATCCTAGAGTGCAGTTTCAATTCCACTCCATCCTCTTGGGCTTTTCCTTCAATCTTTCCAGTATGTAAGATTTTTTAAAGAATTTCCCTCATAGTTGTCAACTAAATTAATGTAAATAAACATAATTTAAATAGCACCAGCTTTGAATGCAGATACTTTGTACATGGCACTTGTGTAATGTTAGTTGAAAAACGTGGCGCCTGGAATTGCACCTTGACCGTGAGCCAAAAATATGCAAACAGTGTTTTTTGTAGTGCTATGGGTTACAGCATACTGGTAGTTAAATAAACAGATTACGCGCGAAGAGCCGAACGCGTCTGGGTATAAATAATCAACGCTGCTCTGAAGGTCGGACTTTTTAATGTAATCGAGATATGACCCGACATTAAAGGCTCTTTCCAAACACACTATACGGTCTTTGAACATTATACATCATTGTTATTCGCATACATTTACCGATGTATTATCGATCGGCTCCAAATTTCAGACCAGCAGCTCGGTTCACTCTTGCGATACATTTCGTAAAACATTCTCCCGTTCCGCTTTTGTTCTTGTAGAAACTGCTCGGATTCATACTAGAGCGTCGATGGACAACGAAAACGAATGTCGTCGTCATTTGGCGAGCGAACCCCGCATAGCTGAGCGCATCGTGTTAAACGATTGTCGAACTTTGGAAGGATGTTATGAATAACTTTTGAATTAAACATTCGTTTACAATGTACAGATAAACGACTTTTAAAGTGATTCTTAATACAACCGATGTTTTTGCTTTCAGAGATGAAATGTCACCCCAACATTTCTTCTCTTCATTTTATAATTTCTTGTACTACAAGACAGGTTAAAATTGACACATTCTGCGTAGATCGGACACAAAATTAAAAGTTAAGAATTTAAAAAACTGTCGGTAGCCCAGGTTAATTATGACATGCAGACGTCAAACGCCTCTGTCCCGCGACCATGAACGCTGTAAAGGGTTCGCAACGTCGGGAAATAAAATTTAAAAATAAACCTGATAAATCCGCTAATATACATAATACAATTCTCTTAATTTTCTAAACATCGCTATAATGTTGTAGTTAGCGTTTTAACATCAACGGCGGTAAAGGATTTGTTTATTCATCAGTAATAGCATCTTGATCTATTGAGTTTCTCGCCAACTCTTTCTCTCAACAGAAAGTTCTTTCCGAACCGGTTGTAACTTACGGACATACGTATCAATTTTTATTTAAAATTTATTATATTCGACGTTTCATAAGATCGCGCAAGCGTCTATTTGATTAAAGATATTTCGGATTAAAATTTTTAACCGAGCTGAATAAAGAAGGAGGTTCTCAATTCGACTGTATTTTTTTATGTTTGTTACCTCAGAACTTTCGACTGAGTGAATCGATTTTGACGATTCTCTTTTTGAAAGCTGGTGCTTCCCATTTGGGTCCATGTTCATCTCATTGGTATTGGATCTTGGGCTCCGGAGAGACTTAGTTAACTCTTGAAAATCAATTATAAAATGAATACAGAGCGAGATATTTGAAGTCTGTTCTGAGTTACGTTAATAAAAATTGTCTTGTGAATTTTGCATTTGTTTGCTTTTGTTGCAGGCGTACGAGAGGCGGTTCCCCAACTGCCCCCAGATCCCGGTGGTGATCGACTGCGTGATCACCGAGGACAGCTGGTCCGCGGACGACTCGCAGCGCTACACCACCAGGAGGTGTCAGCTGAACGTGGACGCGCCCTATCTGCTAAAGAAGGTGACCTTTCATTGTCATGGGGCACGGGCAGTGTTGACTTCGCTGTTAGCCCGGCGGCTTTGACAGCTTCGGCGTAAAGGTCCAATTGGGGTCGAACAATATAGCTGGTGCACGACGACGACACGTACATACCTGAGGCGGTATCGCTTCTTGCTATCATGTGGGACTATGACCATCAGATGTGGCAGGGCCACGCGTGAGTTTGCTGTTCCACGAATGGGCAGCTCCGTCCGGGGAAGTACCACGACCTCGCTGTAAGCAATATCTTGGCAACTGCGCCACGGAGTCACGGAGTAGTATTTGCATGAAATACTAGAAAATTCACAAAAATCCGGTCGGGCCGGCCGCACCATACCCAGGACAAGCAAAGACCTTCACCATAGTAATAGCGGGTGTCCAAGTTCGATGAACCCTCTCACAGCCAAATTCCGACAGATGATCGGCGTGGACTACGTGTACTTCATCCAGAAGAACCACCTAGACCTGAAGAACAGGGTGCTGGAGATCGAGGCAACCAACGAGTCCTTCTCCTCAAGGGTCGGCGTCGTCGAGAAGTGCAGATATTACGTGAGTCAATTCATTTGCGTCCCTTTCTAGCATTGAACTGACATAGCTTCCTTCAACGTTGTCTCAAGAGCCTTAAATGTGTTTAATCGTGGTAGTAGTAGCGTGGAATAGTTGTTTTCTCTCGCCGATGAGATTGGAACCAGCAATAACAGATACGATGGCACCAGCTAATAGCCATTATTTGACGGAGCTGTGATCTTTTTCAGCCTTTTAATTTGCAATACTCGAGCAACCCGAGTTCGAATCTCTGTGCCAGCACCAATGAAATTTGAACAGCTGAGTTATCACGTCCTCAGCGGTTAAGCAAAACATAGTGGGTAAAACTGCATATTTTCGAAATAATAAAAAATAATATTTGGAAGATACATAATTATTATGTGAAGTTTGCCAATATGTGAAGTCTCTGAAGGCACAGAGGAGGCCTTTGCCTAGCGGTGGGATGTGACGGCTGTAACTTTACTTTTTACTTGATTTCATTTAGTCGGGGGTTCAACTCTGAATGTTGTCATTGACAAATAAGTATTGTGTTATAACTGTGTACGCTCTTGCAAGAAATACCCACGTGGGACGCTCAATGCAAACAAACGGGACGCGAACGTCGAAGGCGAACGTCTATTTCCGGCGCGCGCCCGAAGATATAATTTCCATCCGGCCGCGCATGTGCTCGATAGAAAATTGCGCGTCCTTATGTACTTGTGTTGTTCCGTTTCCCCGTTTCCACGACTATTGAATGACTGTTTCCTGTTGAGGGGCGAAATGAGTAGTTGTATACAATTATATTCGTTTACTTAGGAAAACTAGTCTTTAATACGCAAAGGTAACTTTATATGCGCATTCGACAATATTTATGTAATCATTTAGGTAGCCAGAACTTTTTAATACTATATGCTTATAAATTTAAAGTTTATAAGTTTAATAGATACGTTGTTGAAAATTTTCGCTTTTGGCAGGTTTTACTTTTAAATTAAACACACATTTCAAATTCATTTTCAGTACAGATTAGTACTAAAAATAAATAATAATCCTTCAATTATTATTGTTCTTAAATAAAAACAATAGAAATATTATAAACTAAAATTATAAAAACACAATTTTGTAATGTGTTATTTCTATTACTCTACTGCCAACTGAATTGATTCCAAAATTGTATTCATTCAAATGAAGTAAAATTAAAATAAAGCAGAAAAATTAATACATATTCATGGGCTATTTCAAATCACAGCAATTATGATACGCAATACCAACTTTAATACACAAAAACCGACTCGATAAATTAATAAAAATAAACCAGTCCGAAGATGGATCTGAAAATATTATTATTATCTTTGATTATATTTTAATGTGATGTACTAAATCTGAGTTTATTTTAGTTTTCAATGTTTGTATTGCCTAGGCGCGCGGGACGAGAATATGTTTTAACGAAGCTCATTTATTTATTTAAGTAATGTAATATTGAATGGTGAATGAGAAAGTACATAATAGAATTTTAGACATGAAGAAAACTTGTATTCTCGCCAAATGTCCATAGTTGTCATATTGAAAGGATCCAGAATTTCACTGTGTATCTATACTATAGGATGGAATTACTTTATTATTGAACTAGCAAAAATCAGTTTCTTAATTTGTTTCAAATTATTGTTATCGTAAAGAAATTGCCCCGCTCCGGAGAAGAACCGGTAAGAACCTGTGGTCGTCTCTTATCATAATAATATCATACTAATCTTAAGCATAATATCAGAAGGATGCCACCGAAGCTTCTCTTATTTCAAAACATCTCCGTATCTTTCCGTATTATAATAAATAATCATAATCCCCTCCAATTGAAATCAATTGCAAAGCATCTATTTTATGGCTCTGGCTTGTGTTACTTCTTTAAATCTTCTACGGCTTCTTGACCTTGATATATATTAAAGCTGAACACACGTATGTCAAGACCTTTAGTAGATTATGTGACACGTGAGGAGGACTTCGCTCAATGTCGTAGATATTTGGAGGTTGCTTGACGAGGCCGGCGCGTGCCGTCGGTGGGTCCAATCCAATTACGGTGGCGCGGCTTGGATTGTAATGAAAGATCACATTAAAACTAGCTGTGCCTCGCGGCTCCACCTACCTTATATGTAAAAATGGACTGTTGTTCGTTAGTCTCGCTAAAACTCGAGAACGACTGGTCCGATTTGGCTAATTTTGGTTTTGAAATATTTTTGGCAGCCCAGGGAAGGTTTAAACGATGAGAAATTATGGAAAAATGACATGGAAAATTGAAATAGCAACAATTTTATTTTCCGATACAAACTGTCAACTATGTTTGTGTATCCTGTCAAACATTTAGGCGTGCCTTCCGATTCCTCTAGAAATAATTACTAAATTAATAACTTTTTAGACTTCTCAAGTCAAGTGCCGTTCTCGTTTCACGTGGTAGCAAGTACATTTTCGTATTGGTTGACTGTTACAATTGCCTTAGATTATTCTCAAATATATTTTTTTCAGGAGCAGAGGCGAATTTTTGGTAGAGGACTCGTTGATGTTTAAAATCCGATATTGCATTTTTCTACAAAAAAGAGTATCAATGATACTTATTCAAAGAAATATGTGCTCAAACGGTATCGCTTACCGTTTTATTATATTGATTTCAGTGATTGTGCGGCTACGAATAGGTTTTCGGGCGAATAAATCTAATATGTCTCGATTAGTGGCGTTCCCGGTCAGCGGTCGAACAAGGTCATTCGAAAACCGATGTATTTCGCAACGATCTCGCCTGTTGTTGGGCATTTCGCGGAACGCTATAACAGGGCGGTCTGCTCGCGCGTCTGTTTTCACACGAGTGACGTCACGGAGCCGCCGTTTTCGCCGAGGCAACTGCTAATCGCAATTTTCGCATCGGTATTCGGTCAACGCGCAAGACGCGATGTTCAAAATGTAACTGTCTTTGAATGATTTTCTGTGGTAGGAACACGCAACAGTTTTCACAGTTGCACTAATGGGCAGGTCCGTCCGGGCAAGTACCTTTTTTTTCCGTGGGAAAAATCCTTTGTGGATCCCCTGCCACTGGATCGGGGGAGTGGCGTGGGTATGTGGGAGTTCCGGTGAGAAACGGGTACCCACTAAAAAACTCACGTTGCACCAGTCTCTGTCGGGCGGGGACACGGGAGCACGTGGACGCAATCTTCCACGACCCCGGCGCGGTCCGGGTAAGTACCTACCACGACCTCACAGAAGACCGGCGTAAAGTAGAAGTGTTACATCTTCCTCAACTTCTGCGTTTCGTCTGTTGATTGAGGTTGCCCAGGCCCATTTTATTTAAAGGTGGTAACGCATTTGCGGCCCTATATGTATTGCAAATGTCCATGGGCGGCGACAATCACTTAACATCCGGTGAACCGCCAGCTCGTATGCCACTTTCTCACATTAAAAAAGTGAAAAGGATGACGAGAGAATCCGTCCTATATTTTCGTCCTTTTCCCACGGAAAATCCGTCCGTCTACCTCGTACAGGTTAAAAGGCCTGAGACTTTGTATACATAACTCCTCTGTTATTTATTCCATAATATTAAGTAAGGGAAGTAAAGCTTATTCAAATCCAAAATATCTTTATTCAAATTGACGCTCGCGCGTTCGTATGAAACGTCGAGTTTTATATAAAAAATTATACATAAATTCATAAGTAAGTTACCACCGGTTCAAAAAGCTTCTGTTGTGAAGAGACCGGCAGGAAACTCAACAGTTGCTCTTTTTAGGGTTACGCACCCAAAGGGTAAAATGGGATGTCCGTCCGTCCATCTGTTTGTCTGTCATCGTACCAATTAGTTGGGCGGTTTTTTTTCTACAACTGTGTAGGTGCTGTATGTACATACTATGAGCTACATGCGTACCCTGTTGGGGTCCACAAGCTGTTGACGAGCGGGCCAGCGCTGTTGACGAGTGACCACCGCGGCCCGTAAACGTTCGCCACGCGCGTTGGAAACGTGTTAGCCTTAGCTTCCTGGAATGTTTCCCGTGCCTTCTTCTCCGTTAGTCGGCCGCCAAAAAAACCTTATGGTATGCAGAGAATCTAATTATACTCGTGTTTGACTGATGGACGCTTAGCAAGGATTAGCGATGGACTTTGTAACACGACGCCGTATGAGAGCCTAGTGTTGCTGATCCGATTGGTCGATGGTCCGACGATAGGTAATGAGACTTATCTATAGCTTATTTATGTATTTGTACATCATAAATACCATAAACTAGCTCTTCGCCCGCAGCTTCGCTCGCGTTGAAGCTTCTGACAACACTTTTTTCCAATTAAAAATTTAATTGTTTTGTTGTAAGTGTTATACGAAAAAATGGTCGTTTGCTGTAATTAAAAAAGAAAGTAGATGAAATACGTTGAAACTTTAGTCGTTGTGAAGATAAGCTCAGTGGTTAGTGCATCGGGTGCGTATTGCTAGAGACGCAGGGTCAAATCCTCGCGATGTCCTTTCTCAGGCTCTATCCGTGTACCAAATTTCATTTAAATCGGTTCAGTAGTTTTGGAGTGAAAGCGAGACAGACAGACAGAGTTACTTTCGCATTTATAATATTAGTACGGATTAGACATAAAGCCAAATGGCGTCTTCGTAATATTAAATAATAAAATAATTAATTAAATAATTAAACAATTGATAGATAAAAATAACCTAAATGATGTGAATATTTTTGATGCGTTTGCTTTGATAAGCCACAAACAGATCGTTGATGCCATTCAGAAATCCGCACAGACTTGAATAATAGAATTGGCACCGAATGTTATTTTTATATGACTAAGCTTGAAAATTGGATATGGAGAACTGTACTTATGTAGTGCGCCCTGCACAAGTTGAATTTCCAATACATAACTATCCCAAAAAAAAAAAGGAAGGACAAAAATTGATAGAAAGGAAAAAAAAAACATCTTTTCTCCTAATTTATTGTTCCACAGCATTCGTATTACATCCAGCCTTTAAAGGTATCGATTGAAGAGTTGTGACCCGGGAACTCGAATCG